GTATGCAGTACTTAAGTTTTGGACGCATGGGTACTGTACACAAAGTCAGAAACGTTTTAGCGTCGACATGACTAAAGACCCTACGTATTAACCATAGGGTTCTAAAACTTTTGGCATGGTGGAGAAGATTTGTAGCTCAGGTGGATGATTTTGGTGGAGTTTTGTTCTCTGAGCTGGATGGTTTGGTCGTGGAGCTTTCATCGTTCTTCTGAACGACATCATCAGCACAAACTTCAGATAGAAGTGAAGTGTTTGAATTTCTCCATATGTGTCTCAAAGCTTGTTCTGTGCACCTCGACGTTGATTGGTTCTTATTGACCTTAAATTTGTCGTTGTTTACTTCTTTGTTTTGGTTGTGTCTCCCATTGTTTTGATTTTTGTTCTTATGTTTGTGCATGATTTTTCTGATTGGCTGATAAATTGGATTGATTTCAATATGCTTGTTGATTGCTAATTGACCTGAGTGCCAGGCTTCTAAAAATTCTCTGGTGTTTTTGGAGTTTCCTCTGTCTAAGATTTCCACATTTTTCCAATCGAATGAGTGTCCGCAGTTGTCCACGTGTATTGATATAAGTGAAGAGATATCATGCTGTTTGACTGCTAATTGATGTTCATGTAGGCAAAGGTGAAGGGGGCGTCCGCTTTGTCCGATGTAGTGTAGAAAGGATATCGTCATAATACCAGCGGACAAAGGACGCACCACAGTAATCATGGACAAAGAAGAATACGTCAAAAAAGCCGAAGAACTACTGGAAGACAAGAGCACATACAAACTGATGGATACAAATCCCGTCAAAAAATTAGACAACCAAATCTCAAAGACCTTAAACAAGCTAGTCAAAGCAGGAGAAATAACAAAACAAGAACAATGGAGAATGAAATCCAACGGACCAGTACTTCCTCGATTCTACGGCAGACCCAAAATACACAAACCAAACATCCCACTACGTCCAATTGTAGCACTCCCCGGAACACCAACGTACAATTTGTCAAAAGAAATTTCAAGAATACTGAGACATTTAGTAGATTCAGCCAACCATTCAATCAAATCCCCTACACAATTCCTGGACCAAATTAAGGACATCCAAATCAACAACGACGAACTGATGATATCCTTCGACGTGACAGCACTATTCACCTCAATTGAACCAAAATTAGCAAAAGAAACTATATCCCTGCTGCTCAACAACGACACAAACCTCACCAAATACACGAAGCTTCAAATTCAAAGTCTACAGGAACTCATCAATTTATGCCTAACAACATACTTTCAATTCAACAACAAAATCTACGAACAAACGAAAGGGACACCAATGGGATCACCAATATCAGGATTGATCGCAGAGGCAGTGATGCAAAGACTAGAAGCCGCGATATTACCAGTGATCAAACCAAAAATTTGGATTCGCTATGTAGACGACACCTTCGTCATCGTCAAAAAGAATGAACTAGAAAACACTTACAACCTGATCAACAACGTCTTCGATGACATCAAGTTCACCATGGAACAGGAGTCAAACAACCAACTAGCATTCTTGGATGTATTGATCACTAGAACCGACACAGGAAAACTGGAAACTCAGGTATATAGGAAACCGACCCATACGGATCAAATTCTCAACTACAATAGCAACAACCCCAGAGCTCACAAAATCAACTGCGTACACAATTTGTTCAAGAGGGCGAGGACACACTGCAGCACACTGGCAGCACGAAGAAATGAAGAGAAATACCTAAAGGATGTATTTCAGAAGAACGGCTACCCCATCAACTTCATCAAAAAATACCAACCGCACGCAGCATTAGAACTCAAGTCAAGCACAAAAATCAACAAAAGGATCACCCTACCATATATACAAGGAATATCAGAAACAGCGACGAGACTGCTGAAAACCTTCGGAATAGGTGTGGCACACAAACCGACAAAATCACTACAATCAATCTTATGCAAACCAAAAGATGAAATAACAAAGGAAAACAAATCAAACATCATCTACAAAATAAATTGTGCCAACTGCGAAAAACACTACATCGGACAAAGCGGACGCCCCCTTCACCTTCGCCTACATGAACATCAATTAGCAGTCAAACGGCATGATATCTCTTCACTTATATCAATACACGTGGACAACTGCGGACACTCATTCGATTGGAAAAATGTGGAAATCTTAGACAGAGGAAACTCCAAAAACACCAGAGAATTTTTAGAAGCCTGGCACTCAGGTCAATTAGCAATCAACAAGCATATTGAAATCAATCCAATTTATCAACCAATCAGAAAAATCATGCACAAACATAAGAACAAAAATCAAAACAATGGGAGACACAACCAAAACAAAGAAGTAAACAACGACAAATTTAAGGTCAATAAGAACCAATCAACGTCGAGGTGCACAGAACAAGCTTTGAGACACATATGGAGAAATTCAAACACTTCACTTCTATCTGAAGTTTGTGCTGATGATGTCGTTCAGAAGAACGATGAAAGCTCCACGACCAAACCATCCAGCTCAGAGAACAAAACTCCACCAAGAACTTTTGGCGGCTATCGCACTGCAGTGTACGATAGTCTTGTCTAACGATGACTCCTAGGTCATTATAGGTTCGGAAAACTTAATGCTACTCATCAGGTTTATATCTGTACCTTGTGACCAATATGCATCATTTACATATAACAGGAAGAACACTGTACCCTGAGGCACTCCGATAAGCATAGTTTCCCAGCTATACAACTTTGAGTTCGCTCGTACTCTTTGTTGATGCCGGACTAAGAAGTCCTTTATCTACATCGATAAATTTCTTCAAATCCAGTCATATTATAAATTAACATATAATAGTTGTTTCATATTTTGCCGAAATTTATATATATTCCTTCAAAAAACTATGCCCAACAATTTTGTCCCGGTGACATAAAAACTGTCAGTTAGTTAAGAATAAATGTCCATATCATGTGAAAACATGTACACAATGTTTTTTTTGGATGGCATCAGCTGCTTTCTAATCACAAGTTAGTTTTATCTCATTTTTGATTCATATATATATATATATATATATATATATATATGAATGATTGACTTCTATATACTTCCTATTAAGTTTAACATGTAGAAAAAAGAAATATACGTATAAATAATTCATTTTTGCTGAATATTTTTTAACTATTAGGCTCACAGAACACTACACCCAAAAGCATTCAATTGAGATGCGAATCTTCGCTAACAGTTGATATAATTCAATCTTGTTAATTTCCTCTCTCGCTGGACTGGTGTAAAGCTTAGTAACTGGGATTGATTACAGTGTGTGCACTAGGTGTTAGATGGATTCCGATTAAGAAGATCTACAATTGAGTCACTTATTTTCTGTGAAGTTTAATGATACTTATAGACGTACTAAGACAGATGTGTAATACAAACGTGCGAACGTGTTGGGAAACTAAATTGTATAACTATTAAATTACTTCTCTACTAAAACATGAGATGAATGCCAAAAAACTGATATTTATACGCCCAATATATTTTTATTCAAAGAGTTAATCCATTGTTCAAGCACAAAATTACATGGATAGTCGTGGTTGAGTAATTTAGAACAGTTAAACAAACATACATAAAACAGGCAGAAAACGAAAATCATTCAACATTCAAATCTGAGACAAAATACGTACTAGATATCTATGTATATAAGAAACACAGGCAGCTTGTATGTGCATACAACTAAATTATTCCAACACAATCCATACAAACATGATAAAAAACAATCTTAGAAAATTATTCTAATGAGAAAGAAAGTATAAAAGAGGAGACACAATGATAAGAAAACACTCAATTTTCATGGGGTCGACTAGGATCACTGTGAAATAACAACTATCGACTACAATTATGTAATAATTTACGAATAAAAGGTGGACAGATGTTTAATAGTCAACTATAAGTTAATAAAAGTATGCACAGACACTCATCCATATACACACAAATGCACAAATATACTAAAAACAGAGATTCATATTTAAGTTACAATAATTCACTTTTCGTAGATAACAAAAGTGGAATTGGAAAAAAATACATAGGAAAACATAACAGTAAGTAATAAAGATGATAAAAGGCACGTACATAACACAATCAACGAGAGAAAAAATGAACACAATAGGAAGTAATTATATATTATTGTTAATTCTTATTTCAAGTTTGACTGACTAGCAAGCCATTCAGAAGTATACACACATACTGATAGGTTGATGGGGAGAATTTAAAATGCAACACCAGAGTTTGAGATGATGGAGTTTAAGCAAAGTACAGGCACACGCAGATAGATAAAAAGAAAAGGAAGAACCAGGAAACTAACTAAAAAAAGAGATTAGGCTCTTTAGAAAAGAGCAAAAATACTGATTTTAAGCATCATTCAATGATGGTATCACATGGATAACAACAAAACAGGAAGTAGATAAGAACAAAACTACATCAATAAGCTATATGAAATATATCTGGAGTCAATGAACAAACATACAAGCAACGAAAGAACACGGTGGATAAATTCAAATCAAAAATAATAAAGATAACGACATGAAAGTAATCGAATTCAACAAGTGGACATATATCTTTGACGAAAAATTGCTCTGTTTTTGAAAGGAGGGTGGTAGAAAGATCACTTATACAAATAAGAAGTATTGGTGGAATTTTCATAGGTAGTAAATCAAACAGTAACAAAACAATGCACGATTAAAATTATACACATATACATGAGAAGAATTTGATATTGTGCTGTATACATACTGAATGAAAGCCAATAGGTTGACATATATATATATATATATATATATATATAAAGGAAATAGCAAATAAGTACCTCTAAGAAATAAGACAGCAAATATTATATCATTAATACGGAAACAAATACATCACTAATATCACTGTATGTTGTATGTTGGCAATTACACAAAGAATTAGAAACGATGATAAGTGGATGTGTACATATTATGTTGTATGTACGCTTTGAATGAATACATATTATACAATAAAGCAACGATGATTGTGACGGCGTAAACGAGAATGCGCATGATAGTTAGTGAGATAATGAATTTGTCGATCATTAAACGCACCTTTACGTTTACTGTAAGAAGATAAAAGAATAAATTTGAGCATTGAAATACAATATCGTTAAATCAAATGACATCTCAATAGTGATAGAATAAATATAAGATGAAAATAGTTCAATTTTAATATATAGTCAGTCTTTATTTATAACTAATAAGGAAAGAATTCGCTTTACATAAATGAAGTGTATGATATGATAAATTTACAATTAAAACTGTAAAATACTATAATTCATATTAATTGGAATTAACAATCCACATACTAGATGTGTTGACCGATTTCAAGGTTATTCTTGAAAATAAATAAAGATTTAACACATAAAACGAGATCGGATATTCTAGATTGACGCATAAATTCGCCTCTCTTTAATCAGTATTATTTTGAGGTATCCTACAAAATAGTGTTACTATACTATGTAATTTTATTTTCATATGTATTTATTCATATTGTTAAAACTATATGAAGGAGGATAAATATTTATTATTACGGATATTAACAACATCTACTGTGTAGAAAGGTCACAATTCGGTCATTCATTATATCAATTAAACATTAGATACTAAGAAAAAAAAACAAGTTGATCATCTTTGAAAAGAAAATCTATTACACAATATAATTTGTGAATATACTAATTTGATTGTATGTTGAATAAAATACAGTAAAGGATCAGGTGATTTTTGACAGTAGTTTTTAGTTAACTGACAGGTTAGAAAAATAAGATCCCAATGAAGAATTTTATATTTTTTTTGAACATATCCACATTAAAATCATTTGATCTTTTTTTTTATTGAATAGAGAAGAAATTTCGTGTTAAACCGATCAGTTCGGAATTTGGATAACTGGCGGTTTCAACTTCAATTAGATTTTAATACAGTAAATGTTGTTATAAATAAGACAGAAAATTTAAGAAATGTTCTACAAAAAGTCAGTCACCAACTATTATTGTGGAACTATAAAATAAGCTGTAAAGGATTAATCGTAAGCAAAAATAAGATTCATACAAGAACGGCGGAAATATTACTTACTGTAAAGCATAGTGCTATTGATTGACAGAACTGACGAATAAAATATTCGATGATTAAAACAAAACTGCGAGAAGGGAAAATGGTGGTCACTGTTTTGAAGTTACACAACAGTTTAGTGACAAACCTTGACTAGTTATTTAACAAGAATTTTTAAAACCTTAATTAGTTAATATATGGTCTCTTTTGACTGCTAGTTTAGTGCTTGACTGATGACACACTTTCCGAATTTAAAACAATATTTGTTCTACATTATTGCTATAAATGTATCTAGTTATCAGTAATACAATCAATACAATCTTAATTTATTTCATCGTAAAGTCTAATGTACGTAGAATGTTGACATTCATTTTTTTATTAATTAAATGAATATAAACAGTAGTTTATATGCACGAAACAGAGCTATCTGGTAAAGTTATTAATGTGCGAACCGATAAATGGTATAAATTATGGCATAATTTAATGCCGGTAATTACCTTATGAGACAGGCTAAATAACAACTATTAACCAAGTTTACAAATGTTGTATACAATGTAGAATTAATGTAAATGTGAAAATTGTAATTGGATTTTATTAAAATATGAATATAGGTTAACAAATATTAATAGTTATTAATATTCATTATAATGAAGTACCTGCGAATCAATTCTATTGCATCTTCACTGGACATTCCAAGTTCCATTAACGCAACAGCTACCAGAACCGGAGCCCTTAAATATTTCAGTTTAAAAAAATACAAAAGGCTCACACAGTTTAGTCAAGCCACTATACAAACGACAGTATATTGAGTAAAACGATATATATCATTTTAAAATGATTCAAGGAAACAATACGTATTACATATAGGTTTTAAGCTAAATACGCAAATAACTCTAAAATTGAATTCCTTTTATCACTAAAATGAAACAAAATAAACTTACATTGCCCTGGAAAATCAATAATGGCAAATCACTACCATCTGTTAGTTAAATAATTCTGAATTCGCATGTGATTTGGGAATTTCTTAAGGAAAGTTTGCCCTTCAGGAAGCCAGAAATAAAATGCATTTCAAAACTAATTATAAAGGGTAATGCAGACAGGATCAATAACTGTGGTTGATACTAAGCCATATCATCTAACGTCTCAAACAACTGATTCCAGTTATCACACGGATCTCAAATGAGTAGTTTACGTTTATTAAACTTGCCTTAGACAGCCAATAACTTCGCTAGTATGGTAGATATGTGAGCATTAGTTAAAAATCTCCGTAAACCAGAAAGCTGTTTAATCCTAATGCACGACTGCTGATTGTAGGTAACCACAACCTCACTTTGTTCTTTGTTTTGTTACTTATTTATAAGGACAAGATTTATTTTTTTCTTATTCATATCCTTATTAAAAACATTTTGTCAACCCATATATACATATTTCAGTCAATGGAGCAATTCCTTCTCAATAAGGATATAAATAAAAAAAGATAAATCTTGTCCTTTTAAACAAGGAGCCAAATAAGGGAACGATTTCCGGTAGAAGAGGAAGGTAGAGAGAAAAAGGAGCAGAAATATTTAGTGGGTTAGAAAATCCAAGTTCTTGAAGAAAATTGACAACGATGCTTCCATTTTTTCAAAAAGGGACATGAAAAAACACTGTGTAACAGCGTTATACCCCGTTAGATAAGTGTTTTTAACCCAAAATGAATAAATGTTTACTTTTCAAAATTGCGATGTTAGCCATTGTAGTAATAAGTAACTAGAACAACTAACTAGTATAATGGGGGTATATTTTCAGCAGGAAAGACGAGTTCAGTTACAGACAAGATGCCTACCTACTGTAAGAACTTCTCTTTGACTAGAGCAATATATAAACCGGAATTAGTTGTTTATTGATGCTTACGAGGTTAGGTAGGGTATTTCTTACCATGAACTGCTATCGTTCATGTTTGACTCAATGAACAAAACTAGATGATTAATGTTCAAACGATTTGATATTGCAACTAACACGTTACGTTGAATTTTTACAAATTTTATCATCAAACCAGGGCAAATTTTATCCAAAGAAATACCAAAATGCAGAAAAATCAGTCATTTATATTTAAATTATTCACTGAGAGCACTGGAATGGATAACCAAACACTAAGCGTAATATAAGTGTATATATTTGTATGGGAGAGAGAGAAGCACACCTATGGCAAATGTATTACAGGATTCACAGTAATGACCGGAAATGTTTGTATACAAGTCAGCACACGAACATAAAACACTGTGAAGAAAGATCGATGTTGGAAATACCTAATCCAAATATCTCTAAAACTATGTTTAAACACCAACGTCTATTCAAGATAAGTATTTAACGGAGGACGAAAAACTAATAAATCTTGACTAGATTAAGGTCAAACGAGAACTTAGTAACCAATTATTTTATTTACAGCTTATATATATATATATATATATATATATATATATATACGATATTCAGAAAGACAGGTTATATCCCTCATTAAATATGCAGCATGAGGTTATTAAGTATGAATATGAAATGAGAAATATCGATAGTGCTAGCTGAAAATGTGACAAAACGATCACAAGTTCATAGCGTTCGAGCAAAGAATCTTAAGGTTAACAATTCAAAAATTATTAAATATAGACAGGACTGTTTACTCTCATAAACTTAACTATACGAGTAACTGACAACCATTAACCTTAATGTGACAATTCATATCCGCCGTATTCATAACCCAGTCGGGTTGTATAGAATGGAAAGCCGAATTTTCATGAATCTCTACAGTCGCAACAAGAACTTCTGGAGAGTGTTACGACAGAAACGAGTAATTATTGTAGAGCAAAATGATTTGCACAACAATGAGAACGTGTCAGCCATCATCAAAGTAGAATCCGGGATGAATGTTTATCAGTTAAAATTGTTATACGTTAGAGTTACACAGTAAGAAAAGAAATAAACAAGAGAAATAGAGAAGGACGAATTACAACTGTAATGGACATCGAAACATGAGAGGTACGGTTTGGGAGGAAAATTTGGGAGTAAGACTGACGTAGGTCATATCAGAAGTAAATCACTTCATGAATTGGTACTGTGTCGATCTGCACATTCCTAGCTTTTATCTAACTTACCTCTAAGCCAGCCAGAATCGTGCCAAGTTAGGTAGTGATAAGACACGTGTAACATAAGTCTCAACCACTCCATCTCATCCAGCACGTTACATCTAATTCCAGTAACACCCACTGTGGCACGACTTAGAAGAAGCCTAGTGCTTGGCGCATACATAGCTTCCACTCACATAGGTTGAAATTCACAGCTATTCAGGAATGCAAGATGAACAGTTGCGCACTAGAATCCTTCTTTGGTTGGCATACGGAAATCTCACTTACAACACAATTGACAAAGGCCAAGGTTTGTAAATCTGTTCCGAGAATTAGTGGGATACCTAGTCACTAGAGCTGGTTAACGAGCTTAACTACTTTACTCTGTATGGCAAAGTTAGGAATTAACACAAACCAGTCACCGAGCAACACTTTATGATTAGGGAGAGAAACTTATGCCAAACAATGGCTAGATTGCTATTCAAATGACTCAGAAGACAGTATTTTGTCAACATCCTAAACAAACAAAACCATTATCTCCCCTGCCCCCAAATGCCCTGGTATGGCCGAGAGTGGGGTGGGTTCGCCCTCCCTCTCGAAATACTCTCACACGGCCACGCGTATACAGCCTCTGCCAGGGAAGTCCTTCTCACTGCCTTCTCGTGGCGGTGTTGTTTGCGAAAATGAGAGGATGAAAAGCGAATGTCCGGCGCTTTAACCGGATTCCAAACCAATGGTGCAAATGGGCTCCAGTATCCTGAGGGAACAAATGGCGTATGAACCAATTGTTGGTCACCGGCTTCCATGGGACTGCATCTCCTTACGATGCTCCACTGCTTTGGGGGTTACGCCTTTAGGTCAAGGGCTCGGGGTGTGGCCCCCTAAGATAACCACCTGCTTCGGTCTGGGCAACCGGGCAGTATCACAACCCACACACAAATGATGAACTCTCTATAACTGTCTATATTTATGAAAACCACTTTTCTTGCTTCGATTAACAATCAAATGATTCGAATTATTATTATTACAGTTATTGATATTATTATTTACTACGTCATTATTGACCCTCTTTTATTCCTACTCTGTCTATACTTATTTTTTCGACTTATACAGCAGCTCGCCTAGGGTGGAAACTCGGTTCTATCTAAACGTTCTTGAGTCACTGCCTGGTTGAAAATTGCATGCTACCAACAAATACGAATACTGAAGCAGTTTTTCTGAAACCACGTGCACCATTCAAACTGGCTGCCTTCAACGTTCGCATACTTATGCAGGTTGGACAACAGATAGGGCTGGCTATGTCTTTAGAAAGTCTTAATATCGATGTTTGATGTCTATCTGAGACTCGTATTCAAGACTGTAGTGAAGTACTAAAAATTCGCTCTTCATCTGTCGTTTCGAAAAGTTTGTTTTACGTGGGCTTATCCGGGGACACTGTGGCATCTTCGTCTGGTCTTGCTGGCGTTGGTGTCGCACTAAGCGCCAGAGCTGAGGCAGCACTAATCGATTGGATCCCCATTAACAGTCGGTTATGTGCTGTTAGATTAGAGAGTTCCATCAAAGTGAGAAGAAATCAGCATGAGAAACGATGTCTTTTCGTCATCTCCGCCTATGCTCCGACAGATTGCAGCCTAGATGCAATCAAGGATGAATTCTACCACTAGTTAACTGTTCCCCTCCAGAAAGTGCGTTCGACAGATATTGTAGTACTAGCCGGAGACTTGAATGCTCAGATCGGGCATCTAGGCACAGAAGAGGGTCGTTTAGGTGGCCGATGGGGACTTGTTGGTCGCAGGACAGATAACGGTGACCGTCTACTGCAACTATGCACAGACCACAACCTGTTTCTGGCTAGCACTAACTTTCAGCACAGTCATCGCCGATGTGCCACCTGGCGTCCTCCCTCTGCATCCCAAGCCTGGACTCAGATTGATCACATCGCGATCAGCTACCATTGGCGTGGTTGTGTAAAAGACTGCCGCTCCTTTTGGAGTACCTATCTGGACTCTGACCATGCCTTGGTCTGCGCCAATCTTGCCTTACTTTTCAGTGGCCAACGAAGTGACCACCACCAAAAGATTGATGTTAGCAAGCTGGTTGCAACTTCTGTTGCAAATAAGTATCGAACCGAGCTAGCCTCTAGGCTAGCTACCATTCCACCAAAAAGTATAGATGAGCATTGGTTGCAATTGCATGACGCCATGAAAACGGCGAGTAAAGTCACTTGTGGGTTCGCGAAACGTCCCGCTTACAAGCACTGGGTTTCTTCTGGTTCCTTACAACTCATTGAAGCCCGTCGGTCTACTCCGGGTGACCGTGAGTTTGACCACAAACGAAGGATGTTACGTAAGGAAATTGAGCAAAGCTTGCGTAAGGACCGAGAAGCCTGGTGGTCGGAGCGTGCTAATGAGTTGGAAGCAGCAGCTGCATCTGGTAATTACCGGAAGCTCTTCCAACTCATCCGAGCCACTGGCAGCAAGAAGTCTGGTGTGAGCGAAACAATCTACGAGCATGATGAGATGCCAATCATTAACATCCATCGACGTCTTGGACGATGGGCAGAATTTTTCGAAGGGCAGTTCAACTGGCCTGCTGCTCCGGCAACATCGGTCAGACTGTCCTGCCCTCCATGG